AAGATCCTGTGCAAATTACTTTCCTGTCCCCCCAATAAAACTTAACCAATAAGAAAATGCAACATATACCCCACTAATGAAACAGTTATAAAATAAACCCAGACTTTCCTTTATTTCAGAGTAATTTTAGCCAAGAAATGAAATAGCTAACAAAAGCAAGAGTTATAATCATCCAAGGCAGGCAAAGTATTTACTAAAACCATAATCCCTCAAATTGATACTAACTGAAAATACTGCAGAAAAATTGTCAAGTATTTGCCCCAAGTTACTTTTTAGCAGTCTCTACCTCTAGAATACCGCCAAAGTTTATTTTGTTAGTTTAAGGAAGGGATTTCAATTTATTCATATTGTGCCATTTGGGTTGTTTTTTAAATTTACATGTGACTAGGAAAAAAAGTAACGGAAAAAATGGAAACAAATGTATTTGAACAATAAAAAAATAAAAAATAAAAATATCTATCCATTAAAAACAAGAAAAAAAATAACAGAAAAACAAATAATCCAAGGGGGCAAGGGAGCCTACTTACATGGTGCTTTTGTAAAGGCAAAATGTTAAAACTTTTCTACACTTGCAAATGGTTGAAACATTTAAATAATCTTTCACTTCCTAGTTGAAGGCCAAGTGGGAAGTAATGTAGCAGTGCTATTTGGGATTCCTAGGGACAGGGCTCCTCTCAGTCACAAAGAAAAGTGCTTTGTTTGCTCTCAAGAGACCTTATACAGATCTGCTGTTTTATACCAGATAAAACTACTGAGGTATGCCATTTACAGCCAGAAGCAAGATAAAAGACAGTTATGAGGACCTCTACTTTCATTGTATTACCTGATAGAAACAGCTGAATTGGCTTCTCTGTCTGTAACACACCATCTTGATGAAAACAAGTTAATGCTATTTTGTGTGAAGTAAAGACCTCAAAGCAATTTTGGCCTTGCTTTCTTATGAGTAGAGGAAAAAAATGTGTATGTTTCTCTTCTGTTTTTCTAAGGCCACAGAATCAGAGTATCTAATGCTCACTTTCTTAGAACTTGATGGTACACTTTTTTTGCCAGGATAATCTCATTGATTCTAAATAAAGGTCAGGCCTTCTGGCATGGTTAAATGTCATATTCTAGGTCATGTTTTTGCTAATTTCTGTCTTAACACATTAACAGTATTTTCTGGTCCTGAGTCTCAGTAAACCTTCTGATTGAGCCAATAAACTGGTGCTTGAGTTTAAGTGTAAATAGTCTAATGCTTTCCCACATTTTCCCCACTGACTGAGTTTAATAGAATACTTTTCTACCCTGGGGAAAATTTAGGTAGACAGTTCAGTTGTTTGAGACAAAGCTTGCCGATGTCCCTAGGCCACATGGAGACTCAGTAACTCATGAGAGTGAAGTATCCCTTTTGACTGTCTCCAACTTGACTTGCCATTTCCGTTTAATTATGCCATTGCTTAAAATAGATGAAGACTCAAATAAGAAAAAAAAAAAGTACTGAACAACTTCCACTGCCGATTCAACTTAATGACAGTTATTTTGTGGGTTCTGATATCAATGTCCAGTTATTATAGCCAATTTTGCTGTCTTTTTCTTTAAAGTACAAGGAAAATTGTGAGAAGAGGCAGGGATCAAAAATCCTGGAAATATGTATAGAAAAGCTGAAGAGGCAGGAATCTAATTAAAGTTTGGTCTGTGTCCACCAAATGTTGGGAGTACTGAGAAAATGTAGAGAGACACTTTACCATCATTTGTCGGTTCTTCTAGTTTTTCAAGTTCTCAGCAGAACCAGGAAGACAGTCATTCTAAAATAAACAATTATTTCATGGTAAGGGAGTTAAAACTTGCAAGGAAAAGAAATCAAGAAACTTTCTGGAAATATTTGTTTGTGTTTCCCTGGCTGCTTAGTGTCTGGGTCCAACTAAATGCTGAGGCAAAATTCTGAACAACTTTAAAAAATGTGATCTTATTAGAAAACATTCTTGCTACTATCCCATGTCGATCAGTATTCAAAATGCTTGATTTGGGGAAATACACCTATTGCTAAACTTGACCGTGCTGTGTGACCACACTTAAGATTTTTGCTAAACCAGTGGAAATATTCCTAAGAATGATGTAATGTACTGCTCACTATGAAGCCAATCTTTTCTATATGGTATTTCCTACAACTTTGGAGATAATTCACTAGAGCACAGGTGCTCAGGTGTAAGGCCGTGATTGAAATCATGTCAGGGGCCAAAAGGAGATTTCAATATTTTCCAGACATAAAGAAACGAGAGGATCTGAGTTAGTCAGAAAAGTCTGCGAAAGCTTTCCCTGGAGAATACTGTTAAGCTGCGATCTAAAAGACAAGTAGATTTTCTTTAACCACATGGTCAACTCAAGGTCTAAATGTGAGAAAGAAATGTAAGATGCAGCTGAATGGCTCCACTAATGAATGAATGAATTAGTTAATTGATAATTTAAATTTGCCTGTTTTCGAGGTGCACAACATAGGCCAAGCTCTGGGGATATAATGGTGAGCCAAAATACACCCGGACATGGACTTTATGTCAGTCCTTCTCTGTGGAGACACTAATTACATTACAGAAACAAATGTAAAATATTTGCTCTGTTAAATAAAACAGGAACATATACAAATTTGAACTAATTGAGGCCACCAAGGAAGGCTTTTATGTGGAAGTTACAGCTGAGCTGAGATTTACGTAAGAGTTAAGTAGCCCAAGAGAAGGAAGCAGAGTGTTCCAGACAGAGGTGCGAAAGTTTGACTGCCCACCCCCACCCCAGACGGGCTTCTGCTCTCCTCGCAGGTAACTTTTTACAGCACAGAGGAGTCTGAAGAATGTTGTCAGTTAAAATTCTAAGTAAATCACAGAGTGGCTAAAAGAGTAAATTAATTAGTCAGAGCCTTAAACTAGTCTGGTGAGAACTGTGATTTTGAAGTGTACTGAGGTAGTGGACATCAACATGGAGGAGAGGAAAATGTAGAAAGATGAGCTCAGTACTATACTTAGATAAAAAAAAAAAAAAAGAGGCTCTGGGCCCTGTGCTTCAGAGGACCTTTAAATCACAAATAAATTCAATATGTAAACAATAAATTATTTACACACGATAGGCATTACTGTCACTAACCATGCTTGTGACTAACACATCAGGCTACAGGGAAATTCCTTTTCAGATCTTTTAACCTACCTCCTGGAAATAAAAAGCAATTGCATTTGAATACTATGACATAGTGTTGGTTATGCTACCTCCAACATGAGAAAAGGAGGATGCTCCAGGGTCCAGCGAGGGTTTGAATGGCAGAGCACTTAAATAAGAGAAAAGATAAATTAATTAACTTGTCAAATCCTTCTAACGAATGCAATGAATGCAATGAATGCAATAGGTACTTACATAATGAAATTTCTTTTCCCACTGGTGCTGAGCATCCATTTTCTTGCATCTCTCCATATAAACCAATTCATGGCTCTGGAACAATTCCAGGAATGCTCAGTATTTGCAGTTATTGCATGGGATAGCTGGGGAATATTTTGCAATATTAAATAATTCATATTGCCCTTAAATTTGTATACATCTGTGTCTAGATATAATATACTTAAAATTAAAGTGTGACACCAATTCTTAATGTTGGCAAGTAGGTGGATGTTGAATGCTAGAAATGCAAGTCATTTCATTTTTATGAAAATGTTTAAGATTAAATTTTCAAATATTAAAATAAAAATTTCAATATTACTAATTTTGCTTTATAATCTGATATTCATAATTTACCTTTTTATTTTAACAATTTTGTATAATTTAGAAGAAAAATAACACATGAGATGTTTTTATTTTTCTGTACTTTAAATTTATAGTTTTGATTAACATACATTCAAATTTCTACCTTTTATACAGCTATCTTTTACTTTTTAATCTTTTAGATCATTAAAAATGAGGGCCAGTGAAGAATATAGTGATAGAAATGTCAGAAATAGATATTAGAAAAGGAAAAAAGCTGAGAAGAAATGGAAAAATTTCAAAGAGAATTTCTACTTACATTAAAAAGAAAATTATGGGAGCAATGAAAGTTAGCAGACTTCTGTTGCGCATGACCCTAATAGAATTAGCCAACAAGAAATTACAAGTTCTTCTTTAATGAGATTAAACTATTTATTAAAACAATGCATTAATAAGAACATTATTCTCATTAAATCTGAAATTTAAAGAGTCAGATAAAAAGCTTTTCAACTTTATATTCTTTATTAAATGAAGATTTAATTACTAATTAAAAAATAGGAATGAAAAGAGAATCAATTTATATCAGTTTCATAACCCAGAAACAACATAATCTACACTGGCCTGCCCACTAGAAGATGGAGAAATGAATGATCTTGAAATCAGCTAATATAGGAAGAACTCTTAAATTCTGAAAAATCACATGATAACAACCTTTATGATAAAATTAAAATACTTTGTAAAATCTTTTGTAATAATTTATCATATGCAAACCTACTACAATGTTTGATCATGCTATGTGAAATAAATGTTCACTTCTGAAATGAGTAGTCCTTTAAAAATTTTAAGTTTTATTTACCACCATCTCAACAGAGCTAAGATTCTCCAAATGGAATTAATGAAAATTACATAATAATTTTGACCCAAGAAAGGTTGTCTAATTTGGCATTTTCTGTCTGTAGAACTCAAATTTTGTAAAAAATATTTATTTAAAGACATAAGTAGGAATTTTGGTGAGCCACACTCAGGAAAATACATTTTATAGGATATATAATATTCCATGAATTATGATTGTCTTTGTTTTATAACTTACCCAAATATTGAGACAGGTACATTAATAATTAAATTCAGTAGTCTTTGTTATTTTGCTGACTTTCAGTCATATAAAACCCATAGATTTGCACATATTTAAAAATTTTTGTTATTATGATATTATATTTGCCAAGATAAGACGACATTTTAGCTAACAGTTTTAGCTAACAGTTCCCTGATTTATAACTTTTATTTATTTTTATATTTTTTCTTTTCAGGGGAGGGCACGAACTCAGCCCCCCACTGCCGCAAATTATGCAGTCGAGTTTCCCACATTTGGGGAAAGCGCAGGGGCCAGCACATCCGGAGAGCAATGGGCGAGCCTCGCCCTGGGAAAACCACCTCATGGTCATGGTATCGCCCCTGCCAGGGATGTATGATTTATAACTTTCAAATATGGACCTCTGACTGTATTCTTGCCTCTGTCCTGTAAATGCTGGAGGTAGACCTGGGTGAATGGCTTCTTGCATAATGAAATTTCATTTCCCACTGGTGCTGAGCATCCATTTTCTTGCTTCCCTCCATATAAACCAATTCATGGTTCTGGAATGATGCCAGATACGCTCAGTATTTGCCATTATTGGATATGATGGCTGTTGGACAGTAGCCTGGAGGCCCATGCTTGGTCAGCCTCATTTAGGTTAATGATTGGTAGGATTAGATTGTGGACAGATTGGAGTTAGAGAATATAAAGATGACAACAAGCAACATTATTTGTGATCTCTTGCAGGATTTACAGCAGGATGAGTACCAGATGCCTGGGAATAAGGGTAATGAGGAAGAGGCTACTTTTAAGTGGTACTCTTTACCACCCCTTCTGCCCCTCCTCCCCTACTCCCATTCTGGGACTTGCCACGCTAAAGACAAGTACTGCGGAGCTGGATGATATTACCTAGGCTTAGCCCTAAAGCTTACAAAAACCACTTACTCATTTAATCTCTCCTTAATCTCATTTAGAAATTGTGTTAGACTATTAACCCATAATACCATATTGCTTTGATGGGTAGTAGATAAAAATAATTATAAAATGCTAGGCAAAAGTAAAGCCCAAATGAATGTGCCATGACAATATTTGCTATATTGTAATGCATTAAAAACTTCTTTATCATGTTGTTGTGTTGTTATGTTGTCATGTTGTAACCAAATGCAGAACCAGCTGCCTGTCACTATGAAAGCCAATACTCGAGAGGCAGGTGCTGATGTAAAGGAAGGTGGTTTATTCAGATGCCGGCCATCTGGAAGATGGGGGCCTCATGTCACAAAGCCCATCTCCACATCTCAGTGGAGGCAGAGGTTTTTATAAGGAGGGAGGCAGGAACAGAACAGAGATCAAGGAAAGGGGTTTAAAAGTTCTGCACAGGCAGAAGAGCACAGTCCATTCCAATAAGACAAGTGATGGTCCAGTGTGTATCATCCTGGTTTAGTCATCCTGGCTTCACATCATCCTGGTTTTACATCACCCTGACTCCATAGTTGAAGGGCAGTAAATCTCCCAGAGCTGGGATGCCTGAAGATTGGAGTCTGTATCTTTTGAGGTTAGCTCCTAGGATTCTTATACAAACATGTTCTTCAACTGTAAGCTACGTGTTAGTCAGAGTCAGCGCTTATAGAAACGATGTCAAAGGAATGGTAGGGTGGGTTACAATTTCCCGTTGCAATTTTCCACTGTTACAATGTCATTTGCCATATTTGGACTTAGTTGTTAATTACTTTCTTGGAAGTACTTTTATATGGATGATCAAAAAATTATCAGAGATTTAAATGAACTTTCTTCAGACTTAATTATAGGCTTATTTTCCCAGAGCATGATCAATTTTTTTTTTTTACAGTATAAGAAAAAAAAAAATCTTCCTTGAACAGAGAAAAATTAAGTTCCGTTTATTTTCTCCTCCAGGTCTTCTAGTGGTTATTAACAGATGGTCCTTGTTTTCTATTTGATAAACTAATGAGCGAACATGTGCTTCACCTTTAGCCTGCAGAAGTCATTTATCATCTGAGGCTATAGACAGAGTCTGGCACAGCGCGGACCTGGATTTACAAAACCACTTCTCCCACCCTGTTGGTAAATTCCAACATCAAATTCCCATAGATATTTCCCCTCACTTTTTAGCTGAAGTGATCTTGTCTTGCTGTTTTTGTTGTATTTTCAACACCAGATCTTGATAAAGCAAAATAAAAAGTTAACAGTGTTTGAAAAGTGTTAAAACTTTTTTTTAATGTATATCTCAAAGAGATTTTATTTTATTTGTGATTTTTTGAGGCTAAAATCTTGCTTTTTCCCCCCTCCCCTCCTTGATTATATGAAGATTACAATAGAGGCACATATCTACTGTGTTTTTTTGGGTGGGATGGTTCATATAATAGAAACCTATACTAGTTATATTGATGCAAAACAGATTACTCAAGAGTTAGTGGCTTAAGACAGCAAACATTATTTCACAGTTTCTGTGAGTAAGGGATTTGGGAGCAGGTTAATGGGAGACTCTTACTCAGGATGTCTCATGAAGATGCAATTAAGATATAAGCTGAGACTGCAGTCACCTGGAGGCTTGCTGTCACTAAAGGAACTGCTTCCGAGATGGCTTATTCCCATGACTGTTGACAATTTCCTACCACGCAGTTCTCCGTATAGGGCTGCTTGAGTGTCCTAACCACATGGTAGCTAGATTTTTCCCAAAGTGCCCTAACCTTTGAAATCACATATCGTTATGTCTGCTGTATTTTGTTGGTCATACAGATCAATCCTGATGCAGTGTGGAAGGAGGAATATTAGAGCATAAATACCAAGAGTCGGAGTCACTGGGGGCCATCTTGGAGGCTGGTTACCACAAACAGGGTTGTGTTCGGTGCACCCAGTAACTAGGATTGAAGCCAAAATGCATCCAAGAGAAGCTGTGTCATTTGAGTTCTTCTTGAGCATTTCTTAATATTTGATATATGTATTGGCTACCATTGAGGGAAAGGTGAAAAAAAAAAAAAAAGAAGTTGGACTTGGGAGCCAGAAATATTGGTTCAAATCCTCTAGCTCCTGATTCAGCCTTTGGAAGAGGTTTGGTCTAAATCTAACTATCTCAGTTTGTTGTTCTTTAAAATGGAGGAATTAATACACACCTGTCTATGCTTAGTAAATTGTATGCAAGATAAAAGCTTTAGTTCTAAGTATAGCACCAGGCATCCAAGAGCTAAAGGAATGCCAGCTTCCTTTATCCCTCCCCACAAGATACTCTAAACCAGAACTTCCCGAACATTGTGCTGTGAAATGCCACTCTTCATCTTGCCACCCCTCCAAGGCCCTGGGCCTGTTGCCTCTGGCGGACAGAGGCCTTCTGCAGTGTGCCAAACAGGCATTAATATTATATATGTTTGTTATTGTGAAGCACTTTGGGAAGCCCTTCTCTAAAAGAGGATTTTTTAAAAAATAGTCATTCAAAAAGACATATAATCAGGTACTTGGGATCTAATTATAATTAACCAGTCCCTAAGGATACTATTTCAACCCAGGCATGAGAACATATTTGGCAACATCTTTGAAGAGTCTCCCAAACTTCTCTGATCCTAAAAGCAGAGATTCAGACCTAGATGGGGCTATGAATCTGAAGTTTTAACAAGAATTAAAACTTTTGAGACTGGACAAGTCTAAGACAAGAACGAAAACTTTTGAGATTGGGCAAATCTAGGAAACGCTGTATCTGTTGAATTCACTTCTGGAAAGTGTGGGGAGTTGGGGTGGGAGTCGTCCGGTACCTGGAGAAAAGGGAAAGATGTCTTGTTATTTTCTCACTTAGAAGTTCTGGCATTGTCACTGATTTGGTATTTCCAGGTGTGTGTGTGTGTGTGTGTGTGTGTGTGTGTGTGTGTGTGTGTGAGAGAGAGAGAGAGAGAGAGAAAGAGTTTAGGCAAATATCTTTATATTTGCCTGAAGAGACTCTAGAAGAATTAAAAAATAAAACAACCCTAGTAGAAGATTTTACCTTGAGATAAGTTGGGATAGATGGGTAGATAAGACAGAGGTAGAAGTGAGACTTTTCACAATATACCATTTTTTTTTCAAATTATAAGAGAAAGCGTATTTAGAAAGTTACAAAGGTAGTAAAAATGAGCCAGCTGGGCTGCAGAGGCACCAGAAACAACTTAAAAAAACAAAAGAGGGGCCCTTGGAGCTTCAGAGGGGCCCTTACCGCGCCTGAGGGAAAAAGAAGATGGAGACTTGGTGTGCGCGAGAGGGAGAGCACCTAGATACCATTCCTAAAGAGAATTTTGAATCAAATGAATTATATTATGTTTAACAAAACAAAATATAACAATATTCAGTCCAAACTGGAAAAGACCATGGACTGAATTTGTCCCACAAACTGCCATTTGAGACGGGTGTATTAAATGAAATCCTTAAACTTAAATTATTGAAATCTGAATCATTCAGTCAGTCAGTAAGCACCTATTGACTACCTTGTCAGGTCCAGTCTTCATGTTCAGGGCCCTATCTCTGACCTCAAAGAACCTTCCATTTCTAGATGTTAGTGGCCCATCTTGGTGACCATAACAATATCTTCATCTTAACTATTTTCAGATAAACCCCTCTTAGCCTTGTATATTTTATTAATTTGCTAGGCAAATACTTTTTTCATTATCTCAAGATAAACTTAAACCAATGCCAAGTCAAATTATTTCAAATTCTAGATGAAATGAATACGTATTAATGAAACTTAAATATATTTGCAAAAAAATAAGTGTCTGAGAGCAAACTGTTCTTAACAAGAGACAGAAAATATGTATAAAGAGAGTAGGGCAACCAGGAATAAAATAGAAATCCAGCCTTCACTCACTTGTAGAAAAAAAATCACATCTTAACACAATCTTATCTCTCTTCTGGAGGTGTATTTTGGCTTCTCTCCCCAGCTCACTCTCCCTACTCCTACTGACTCCTACAGTTCTTGTAGAAAAGCAAGATGTTCTGGCCTCTGGAAGAATGGAGATCTATGTTCTCCAAGCCCCAGTAAAGGTGCCAATAGAAGTTTATATTGGCTCAAATGTAGAAATATATTTTCCACCATGACACTGGGAAACATTTCAGGTTTCTGGATTCTTAAAGATTTCGCTGCCTGAAAATGTTATTTAGAAGTCTACTTTGCGATGACTAATTGGTAGACAGGCAGAAAAGTTACTCAAGACTATTATTACTGTTTTTGAATGGACATTGATATCCTTAGAAAGCTTAGCTATCTATATGAAGCAATGTTTCTGAACAGAATGTTAACCTGAGCGCCTCAGAGACTAACTATTTGAGAAGAATAAGATCAAATAACATTTTGTCACATACGTTTGAATAAATGATTTCTTCTGGGTGACAAAACAAGAAAGTCATTATTATACGCTAATAA